AGGTTCTGGTTCTCTGGGACTGGGGACCCTGCGTTTTGTAAGCACCCCGTGGTCTGAGGCCCACACTTAGAGAAATGCAATCTTTAGGCCTTTGATGGGGAGCTAGAGAAGACTTCTTCCCCTCCCACCCCTTATCCCCTGGAGCCTGTAAGAATAGAGTGCCCAGGTAATAGGATCTGCTGGGGGAGGGTATCAGTAGTGGCTGGAGCCCCCGCTCTCCCCTAGAAGCCTGGAATTGACTTGCCCCCTCCTGAGCCCTGGTGCTCTTGAGCCAGGACCCCCGAGGTGTTGACAGGAGGGGCTTGGTGGCCGAGCAGGAGTGAGTATGAATGCGGCAGGCACTGAGCCAGGAAGAGCTGACCCGACCCTTTGCCCTGCACCACCCTAGCCCCCCTGTTTGTCCAGCACCAAGTGTTACAGTAAGTACAGCTGGCCTTTCTAAAATGCTGTGCTCAGTGATTCAGTGTGGAATCTCATTAATCCTGCAGCAGCCCTCGGAGTAGGTGTAGTCGTGATTCTCTGCGGTCCCCAACCCCTGGGCCACAGACCGGTACCAGTCCACGGCCTGTTAGGAACCAGGCTGCAAAGCAGGAGGTGAGCGGCAGGCTTCATCTGTATTTACAGCTACCCCCCATCACTCACATCACTGCCTGAGCTCCGCCTCCTGTCACATCAGCAGCGACATTAGATTCTCATAGGAACTCGAAGCCTACTGTAAACTGCACATGCGAGGGATCTAGGTTGTTTTCCTTACGAGACTCTAACGCCTGATGATCTGAGGTGGAGCTGAGGCGGTGATGCTAGCACTGGGGAGCAGCTGCAAATACAGATCATCATTAGCAGAGAGGTTTGGCTGCACAGAAACCATAATAAATCAATTGCTTGCAGACTCATATCAAAACCTATTAGTGGCAAGTGACAATTAAGCTGCATCTGATGGCAGCTTTAAGTCAGAATCCGGCACTTATTTTAGTCTGTGCATGGCCTGCCCATTATTTTATTTACCACCTCCGTCTGCGCCTCTTTGCCGCACTGTGCACTTACTTGTCCCAGTCACAGTTTTGCTAAGCCTACAAGCTAACTCTAGCAAAAATAAGTAAAAAATTGAGCATCACCAGAGAGCTTTTTTGAAAAGGGGGAAAGACCCAAGGAGGAGACAGCAGAAGACACTAAGACTACCAACAAAATGAAAGCTGCGTTTAAAAGAAAATACCAAGAGTCCTACTTAAATTATGGGTTCATCGCTACAGGTGATTCACATTCTCCAGGCTGCTATGTGTAATAACGTGGCGGCCGGCTATCCAACGAAGCCATGAAACCTTCAAAACTGCTTCACTCATGGAGACCAAGCACCCTGCATTAAAAGACAAGCCTTTGGAGTTTATCAAAAGAAAAAAACGTGAACACGAAGAACAGAAGCAATTAGTGAAGGCCACCACTTCATCAAATGTGTCTGCACTGAGAGCATCATTCTTAGTGGCTAACCGCATTGCTGAAACTAAGAAGCCCTTTACTATTGGTAAAGAGTTCATCCTGCTTGTTGCTAAGGACGTTTGCTGTGAACTTTTAGGAGAGTCTGCAGTTGAAAAGGTGGCACGTGTTCTTCTTTCGGCTAGCAGCATAACTATACAAATTGATGAAATAGCAGAGGATATTGAGACAGGTTGTTAGAGAGAATTAATGAATCACCATGGTACACAATCCAGGTTGATGAGTCCACCGTTACTGACAACAAGGCAACAAGGCTTGTTTTTGTGCCATATATTTTTCAGGAGGACGTGCATGGGGATGTCGTGTGGACTTTTGTTGCCAGCCAACACCACGGCTGCAGAACTATTCAAGTCTCTGAAAGATTCCGTATCAGGAACACTGAATCGGTCATTTTGTGTCTGTTTATGCACGGATGGAGCAGCTGCCATGACTGGACGGCTTTCTGGTTTCACTACTCGGGTCAAGGAGGTCTCGTCTGAATGTGAGTCTACGCGCTGTGTCATCCGTAGAGAGATGCTGGCTAGCCGAAAAATGTCACCTGAACCTAACAACATTTTGCAGGATGTGATTAAAATCATGAACCACACTAAAGTACATGCCCTTAACTCATGTCTGTTCACGCAGCTCTGTGAGGAGATGGACGCAGAGCACACGTCTTCTCATACACAGACATGAGACGGCTTCCTAAAGGTAGATCACTGGCCAGAGTTCTTGAGTTACAAGAGCTGCTCCGGAGATTCCTTTTAGAAAAACAGTCACCACTGGCAGCACATTTCATGACACAGGATGGGTCGCAAACTTGCCTACTTGTGTGACATAGTCAACCTGCTCAACGAACTCAATCTGTCACTTCAGGGGAGAACGACAACTGTGTTCATATCGGCAGATAAAGTGCCTGCATTCAAAGCCAAACTGGAATTATGGGGGTGACCAGTGAACATTGGGATTTTTGACACGTTTCAAACATAAGCAGAGATTTTGAAAGAGACGGAGCCAGGCAGGGCCTTCTTTCTCCCAGCTGGTGCATGATCACCTGTCTCAGCTTTTGAAAGGGTTTGAGCATTACTTCCCAACCACAGAAGACCCCCAAACTGGAAGGAATGGATCCTCGACCCATTTGTGAATAAGCCAGGTGGATCGACTCTGTGCTGGAAGAGGATCAACTGCTTGAGATCATAAATGATGGTGGCCTTAAAAGTATGTTTGAGACAACTTCAGATCTCATATGTTCTGGATTCAAGTCAAGGTAGAATATCCCAGGATTGCTACAAAAGCACTGAAAAGCCTACTTCCATTTCTAACATCCTGTCTTTGTGAAGCAGGGTTTCCTACAGTGACAGCAACCAAAATGAGATTACAGAGTAGACTGGGCATAAGCAACACGCTTTGGGTGTCACTGTCTCCCATCACCCCCAGATGGGACCATCTAGTTGCAGGAAAACAAGTTCAGGGCTCCCACTGATTCTGCATTATGGTAAGTTGTATAATTATTATGTATTACAATGTAATAATAATAGAAATAAAGCACATGGTAAATGTAACACACTTGGATCATCCCCAAACCATCCTCTACCCCAAGTCTGTGGAAAAATTGTCTTCCATGAAACCAGTCCCTGGTGCCCAAAAGGTTGGGGACTGCTGATGATTCTTACTCTACAGGTGAGGAGGCCAAGCAGCGTCACACATATGGGCAGTGGTGGCCCAGGCTCATCACGACTCTGTCCCCCCTCAAAGCTGCCCATCAGCCTGTTTACGATGCGGGCTCTTCCTTTCAGTTCGCCTTTCCATGTCCGACCTGAAATATCAGTGCATTTCACACCTTCCAGAAAGAACAAGCAAGAGAGAAAGCAAAGGGAGAAAATTCTACCAGGTTATTCTCTCTACATCCTTGGTAGATTTAAAATATTAGATTTAAAATGTTAAGCTAAAATACTGTCAGTGGAATTTGGTTTTTCCTGACATTTCCTTTTTTTTTTTTTTTTTTTTTTTAAGCAGCTTTATTGAAATACAATTTACATACCATATAATTTACCCACGTAAAGTTTACAGGTGAGTGGCTTTTAGTACATTCACAGAGTTGTGCCTCCATCACGAGAGTCAATTTCAGGTTTTTATCATCACGTCCCCCCAACCCCCCCCCAAAGAAGCTTCATACCTGTTGACTCCCACCTGCTCATTCCCCTACATACCCCTGGCCTGGGCAGCTATGTCGTGTCTCTACGTTGTGAGCCAGTTCTGCACATTTCATGTCAATGGATCATGTGATACGTGGTCCTTTTGTGATTGCCTTCTTTCTTTTAGCACAGTGTTCTAAAGGTTCGCTGCTGTAGCGTGCATCAGAGCTGCCTTCCTTTTTATTGCCAAATGATACTCCATTGTGTGGATAGACCACATTTGGTTTAGCCATTCATCAGCTGATGGATATTTGTGTGGTTCCTTGACTTTTCTGACTTGATTGTCACAGGTAATTTAGCATTTACTGTGTCTCTCATCTGTGTTATTTATCATTGCTGCTGTTTGTTAAGGTCCTTGGAGTAATTGGGGTTGTAAAATGCTTAGCGTCCTCTTGCCCAGGGAGCTGCTGTTTCTCTTGCTCTCCCTCTCTTGAGTTCATCAGCACTTTCCAAGGTCCTAGGATCTACAGTGTGCTCTGCAGATGTGTTAACTCATGTATGTCTTGAAGTTCTACTATGAGGATAAATTGTGTGTGTTTTCATAGATAAAAAAACTTGAGGCCTAAAGAGATGATGTACCTGTTCAAGTTCAAACTATCAGTCTGTAGTGGGGTGGATTTGAACACAGGCTCCTTGGGTAGGGTAGAGTCTGAGCATGCTGCCACTTATAGGCCAGAAAATAGAGCACAAAGAAGACTGACATCTCATTTTGGTTCATCTGAGAGCCAGTAAGTGAGTGCCTTTTACAGCAGGCGTGGTGCCCACAAAAGAGAGAACATCGTTTGTGCCCCTAAGGAGCTCACTGGGCAGACAGGCAGGCAAACCTCCAGGGGAGGGTGTTGGAACAGAGGTCAGGCAGGGGGACCCCAAGGGCAGAGGCAGTGGCCTTCCTGGAGGAGACGGCCCAGGAATGGCCATGGAAGAATCTGGATTTCAGGCCAGAGGGACTGGGTAAGAGAGACGTGCAGATGTGTATGAGGTGCTCAAGGGTCAGGAAGGGGCAGGGAGACAAGGCAGAGACTCAGGCGGGCTGCAAGAACGCAGGGCCTGCCCCCTGGCCAGCTCCCTCTCCGTATGGGGGCAGGCCCCTGTGTGAGGCATTGGTGGCTCTCACCTTGGAAACTAGAGGACTTCAGATGCTTCTCACAGGTGCCCCAGGGTTTGCCCTGAATGCAGGTACAACAGTGGCACCACGTGGCAGCTGCTCTGCCATGTTCCACAGCCAGTGCTACCCACGTGGAGGGTGGAGCAGGATTTGTTGGAGTGTTATAGATGGGTGCATGAGGGTGGGTGCAGTAGAGGCCCTTGGTGAGTTGCAATTACATTTGGTTTCAGGAATGCAAGAAAGGACTACATCACGGCCAAGTACATCGAGAGGAGATACGCAAGGAAAAAGCACGCGGACAATGCAGCGAAGCTTCACAGCCTTTGTGAGGCCGTCAAGACAAGAGATATTTTTGGATTACTCCAAGCCTATGCTGATGGCGTGGATCTTACGGAAAAAATCCCACTGGCCAATGGACATGTAAGAGTCCTTTCTTTCCAAGGAAAGAGAAAGGGGAAACCATGGTGGGGCGTTGTAATTAAAAATTCGAACTAGGCCAGGTGCAGTGGCTCAACGCCTGTAATCACAGCACTTTGGGAGGCTAAGGTGGGAGGATAGCTTGAGGCCAAGAGTTTGAAACCAGCCTGGGCAACATATCAAGACCTCCATCCCTACAAAAAATTTAAAAATTAGCCAGGTGCAGTGGCCTGTACCTGTAGTCCCAGCTACTCGGGAGGTTGAGGCAGGAGGATCGACTGAACCCAGCAGTTCAAGATTGCAGTGAGCTATGATGATGTCACTGCATTCCAGCCTGGGCGACAGAGCAAGAACCTGTCTAAAAAAAAAAAAAAAAAAGAAATGCTTACTAAAGCCATGTAATTCTCTGGAAGAAGATGGCACTGAGTTCTGTAGCAAGAAACCAGATTGTTTTTTTTAACTGACAAACAATAATTGTATATATTTATGGGATACGATGTGATGTTCTGATATGTCTCCCTCGTGGGATGATTAAATCAAACTAATTAATATATATCCATCACCTCACATACTCATCTTTTTTCATGATAAGAACATTTAAAATCTACTCAATTTTGAAATATACATTATTACTAACTGTAGTCGCTGTGCAGTGCATTAGATCTCCCGAACTTACTCCTCCTGTCTAACTGAAGTTTTTTAGTCTACCAAACCATACCGTAGCTCTGGAAAGAAAGTCCCTCCCGGGGCGGAGGGGAAGGTGTCTTCTCAGAAGCCCCAGCAGCAGGAAAGGAGCCCGTCTTCCGCGAACAGGTTTAGCGTGAGCCTAGAGCTGGGGAGCCCTGTGCAGCCAGGCTCCGGGCCGGTCCCCGAGGAGGAGAGCTCTGGGGAGTGGGGGTTGCTCCCTGGAGCCCGAGGGAACAGAGCCTGGAGAGATCACCTGTTCTAGAGGGAACTCTCTCGAGAGGGTGGGCATTACTGTCAGGCGTGGGTCCACAGTGAGCTGCCAGCGCCAAAGGGGTTGACATGTCTTCTGACTCTCACGCACAAAGACCCTGTGGACACACACTCGATCACCTGCAGCCTCCTGACCTCAGGCCGCAGAGCTTGCTATATGGGGCTGTTGTGTTTGTAATCCAGGACGTCATGGGGTTCAGCTGTGTCCTTTCGGGCATCCTGGGCAGGGGCACGTTAGGGCAGCAGCCTGGTGGCAGACACGCACGTGCAGGCTGTGGGGTGGACCTCTTCTCCCCTGCTTTCTAGAAAGAACTCGTGCCAGGCAGTCCAGGGCGAGTGTGTGCTCAGCGCTGAGCTGTGTCACGGGGACTGAGCAGGCAGGTGCAGGCGGGGTGGGAGGTGCCTGCTTCTGCCCCCATCTCCTGTCCTGTGACTCTTTCTTCCCCTCTAGTTCTCTCACCCACCCACCTACCCGAAGCAACCCTCATTCGTCTCTTCTCCCCCACCAGGCTAACACACTTTCAGAAAAGGCAGTGGTGGCCACGTACCCCTGGTAGGAATTGAAGACAGTACAGGTATTAGCATTCGCAGCCTCCTCTGTAAGCACAGAATGGAAAACTTTAAGCCTGCTTAAGAAACATACATTTCTATGTGCTTGGGAAGCAAGAAAAGGGATTGGAGCAGAGAATGCTGGGGAACCTTTCTGGATTCTTTGAACAAGACTCTACTTGCAGGCAGTCCCTTGTGTTGTTGATGCTGGGATGGGGACGCATGGACTGTGAGGACTTTGAAGTGAAACCCCTGAGTGTCTCATTCATTTCCCACAGAGTAAGCAGAAACAGAACCAATCTCTAAATTGCACGTTCCCAAGGGCAGGGAGTTTGCTTGGAGATTAAGGGGGCTTTATGTATCTTAGAGATAAGTTGTTTTTTGCAGTTTTTTTTGTTTTTTAAGAGACAGAGTCTCTGTGGCCCAGGGTGGAGTGCAGTGGTGCCATCATAGCTCACTGCAGTTTCGAATTCCTAGGCTCAAGCGATCCTCCTGCCTCGGCCTCCCAAAGTGCTGGGATTACAGGTGTGAGCCACTGTGTCTGGCCTGAGATAAGTGTCTTGAAGGAAAGAATAAAAAGCTTTTGGAAGACAAATCCACAGTTTCACTTAGTGTTGGATACAAAAGCTACTGTTAGAATTCTGGAATGTCTTTGGTTTTCAGGAGCCAGATGAAACGGCCCTGCACCTCGCAGTCAGATCCGTGGACCGGACTTCTCTTCACATTGTAGACTTTTTAGTTCAGAACAGGTAGGTGTTCTAAAATTAAGGGGAGGTGTTTGTTTCTATTCCTTGGTATTTCTAAGAAGGAATCAGATGCTGCTGCTTTGCTTTAGTTGTGTTGCCAAGAGAATCTTCCCAGATCTAAACATGAATTATTGGACAGAAAAAGTGCTGCCAGCTATGGGTTGTTCCATGGAAATCCTAAAAAAAAAAACCCTGGAGTGTGAGAATAGAAACGCTTGGTGGTATCTGGAAGATCCAACTTCTAGTGTCTGGGCCTCAGGGAGACACAAGTAGACACAGCTGCTGCATTCTGAGGGACGTAAATGGCCATTTCTAATCAAAGCATAAACGCAACTTCTCGACCTAAACAAAATGCCCATAAGCCAGTGTTTTGGTTCAAGATCTCTGGCTTAGGCCAGCGGCTACTGTGCAGATCTTCGCTTCCCTCATACCTGTCCTCTACTGCTCAAGACACTGTGCTTGGGCAGCATGAGACCCACCTCACAGGACAGGGCGAGGAACGCACCTGTGCGCAGAGGGTGGTCACGGGGTCCCAGCACAGTCTGTTTTCCGTGGCCCGTCTCACATCTGCCGAGCACGAGCACCTTTTTCGGATAACTGGTTTTGTTTTACTTTGGAATAACTTTTGAAAATCTTCTCGAGATGCCCCCTCAGCCTGTTTTCTGAGGGCAGTCCCAGGGCGAACAGGCTCAGAGCCTGAGTCTTGGGACTCAGGACTTTGGGAAAGCGGCTCTCCCCCTCCCGGCAGGGGCGTCAAATAATAAGATGGGAAAAGGCTCGACCCCATCCTTCAGTGGGACAGGATGGGTGAGTCACACAGGCTTCCTGAGGCCCTGCGTCCAGCCCAGCGGGGCACAGCGGCTCTGGGCACGGCCTGTGAAGCAGGAAGGAGGCTGGGGTTCCGGGCTGGCCTGGGGGGTGCACTGTCCCGCTCTTGGCCCCTGCTCAGCACTCTCATTTTGGCCTCTTCTGTCATCGCTTTGTTATTTCCCTGATCACCTCGTACCAAAGCCTCCTTGTCCACACTGGCAGGGATGATGGTGCCACGTCGCACCCACCTTGTGGGATGGACAGCATGTCCCATGTCACATCCACCTTGGGGACGATTTAGAGAAACCGTTCACTCACCCCAGGTTCCCTGCTGGGCAGTCCCTGGTCCTCTGGGCTGTGACTCACTATTCCCTCTCTTTTCTCTGTCCCTCTTCTTGGCCAGCGGGAACCTGGACAAACAGACGGGCAAAGGCAGCACGGCCCTGCACTACTGCTGCCTGACGGACAACGCCGAGTGCCTCAAGCTCCTCCTGCGGGGCAAGGCCTCCATCGAGATAGGTGAGCGCGCAGGGTCCGGCCGCCCTCTGGCCTCCACGCGCCGTCTGCGGTTCCCACGCTGCTGTGGGGACAGTGCCCACCCTTTGCGCTCCTGTTAGAGCTGAGGAGAAAGGAAACCACCTCTGATGAGGAAGGGCTATCCCTGCCTGTTCTGCAAGGCTGACATGGTCTCCGTATTGATTGGCAGTATTCACCCATCTGTCACTCAGACTTTGGGTGCATGTACAGGTATTTTACAGATAGGCAAAGGATGGGCCTTGCAGCTATCGCTGATGCTGGGTGAATTTGGACAAGGTTAGGGAATTTTGACGTCCTGTTCACAAACTCTGAGCCTTCTCACCCCCGCCTGAGACCAGACTTAGTCCCTTCCCTGGCTCTGGGTTTAGATGGCTCACTGGATAGAGATGCCATCCATTGTCCCCTCGCCCCAACCACCCTAATTCTTACTCAGCCTGCCTTCCTTCCTCCCTCTGTCGAGGGACCTGGATACGCTGACAGCCAAGGCACGGTTGTTATCATCTCATGAGGAAGTATTTTTTAAGAACTATTGAACAAAGAGGACTAAGAGTAGAAAAAAGGCATATATCTCCTTGAGGGCCATGCTTCTTATTTTAAAATAATAATCAGACCTCATTGACTGAGACTTATTTAGAAGAAAGTACAAAATTTCAAATTTATAGACTACTTAAAGATGTACAAGTTTATTACATTCGAATGCATGGAACTGGGTTAGCAGTGCTTTGGGTCAGAGATTTATGAGGAACTGCTTTATTCAACAGCTTACAGTTTGGGTATTGATTTTAATTATTTGACTGCTTTAAGAGTTTTATTTTCATGAATAGCTCCAACTTTGTTGTTTAAAATTTTACTTTCTATACTCACCTGCAGTTCTATACAATAAGAAGGCAAATTCAGCCCCAACTGGGTCAAACTAACTGCAGATTTCGTTAATCGGGTTCAGTTTAATTTAGTGCTGCTTTGCTGTGCCTTTTGTGAATTGCCCCTAGATGTCAGACCTTTGCTGGGTTTTGCTGTAATGCCTCCTTGCCTTGCCCTTGACTTTTAGCCAACGAGTCGGGAGAGACACCATTGGACATTGCCAAACGCCTCAAGCATGAGCACTGTGAGGAGCTGGTGAGTCTCCACACCACGTGGTCAGGGTGGCGGGGTGGGGGTCCCTTCTGGACAGTGAGCTGGGCCCATCCTCCTCAGCCAGTGTTGCTGAGCAGATCTCAGTGTCCTAGGTGGGACCAGCTAAGAATCAGCCTGGCTTGGAGAAAGCACAGTGGGGAGTCTTTACAGAGGAGGTGGCCGCCCCTCGTAGTGAGACGTGGAACATGGTCGGTATTTGCTGGTTGGACATGTTGATGACAGTGCTGGCGTTGTCTGGGCAACTGGAGCAGAGGCCCGAGGCCGGCCACACTGCTTGTTCTCTGGCATCTGTAAGCTCTTCGCAGGTTACTTTGCAGCATCCCAAGGCTGGCTTCCTTACTGTGTTCACACCCACCAAATGGTGGGTGTTGTTCTGCGCCATCTTTTCCTTTCCTGCTCTGGAAGAAGAGGCAGTGTGGACAGTGGGAAGAGCCCACCAGGTCAGGTGGCCCTGGGCGTGCAGTGGGCTCCACCTCTGCGCCTGGGGGAGGACACGCATGCTCCCCAGGCTGCTCCGCATCTGTGAAGCGGAGTCGGGTGTGCCAGTGTGCGGGGTGGTGGTGAGAGTTACTGCTGAACTCGGTATTGGCACACAGCGAGTGCTCCCTAAACAGAGCCAGCAATAAAGGCCGTGCAAGTGTGAGATAAGTAGCAGGTGCTGTTTCTATGCACTGTGTATCCATTACCTCATTTAATCTTTATAACTACCTTATGACATCGTTTCTACAGATATCCCCATTTTACAGATAAGGAAACAGGCACCTTAACATGAAGTAACTTGCCCAAGGTCACACATCCACCACCTGGCTATGGGGAAGAATTAAGCCCTAAGTCCTAAGACACCCATTGTGTGTAATGAATTAACATCTCTTCTGTGCACCTAGAGTGGAACTAGCTAGCCACCTACCTGAGAGAATTGAGAAAATAGTCGTTCAGATCATTTTCTGCAGGACTTAGTCCTTTCATACTGGTGGAAAAGGCTGGGTTAACAGTGAATGAACACGTTCGTTCTCCCAAGATTGAGCTTGCCCTCGCATGTAGTGTTGATACCTGCAGGCTGGTCATCATCCTTTAGATCTCTTATATCCCTTGCCTGTGTACAGCACTTTACAATTTACAAAGCCCTCGCCGGGAGTTACCAGGTTTGAGTTTCAGGGTTACTCTATGAATCAGGTAGAGGGAGAGGAATTAACCTGACACCCGGAGATTTCAGTGAGTTTGCCTTGGCTCGAAGGCAGGCTCCCTGCCCTGGCCCCTCTCCCTGTGCTGCCTGTTGGCCGTCTGTGTGGACACCGTGGTTGGTGCCCGCTCCACGTGGCTGTGTGAGCAGCAGCGCTGACCACCCGTTTGTTCCCTCAGCTGACCCAAGCCTTATCCGGAAGGTTTAATTCTCATGTCCACGTTGAATATGAGTGGCGGTTGCTCCATGAAGACCTGGATGAAAGTGATGATGACATGGATGAGAAATTGCAGGTCTGTACCCGGTGACCACACATTGACAGGGTTTGATAAGCTTCATTCAGAGCAAGGTGGGTCCAAGCTTGTAATTAAGGCAGAAAGCAGTCTTGTGGAAAATAGAGCTTACTTTTTGCTTTCATTGATCTCTGTAGGTTTTTGGTTTTACCCTTCCCGGGACTACCTGCTGGCTTCCAGCTCCTGCACATGTTAATTTAAAGGGATGGCTAATTATGTACTCACAGGCAGCTGCTCCCCTTTTGCTACGAAAGAAAATTTGGGACGGCCTTTGAGTCCAGTGACTTTTAGAGGAAGGTCACTCGCTATGGGATCGTGGTATAAGGAGCCACGTTGCCCTGGTTGATCTTAAGAACTTCAGCTGAAAGCATTGAGCAGCCCTTCGCGCTCACTGGGTCCAACCCCTTCCTTTGTCAGATGGGGACGTCGATGCCTCCAGAGAGATTGGCTCAGCCAGAGTGAAGCGACAGTTTAGAGATAGCCTGGGACTAGAACGAGGGTCCCACCTCCTGTCCAGCTCGCCTCTCACCACACTCACTGCCTCGCACACCTGGGGGGCCCAGGAAGGTCGCCGCTTTCACACGGGTCTCAGGGCTGAGAGTCAAACTCCAAGAGTGACTCCAGACCCCACTCTGAGCTGCAGCTTGTTCCCTGTCCCCGTCAGCAGCATGCCTGGAACGTGTTCCTTGTTGAAGTTAGTGGGAAAGGCCACATTAAACACTTGTGTGGTTTAAACTGCTTAAATTTTTACTGTAGGACTTTAGAAAGACTATCTCAATGGCATTTCTGAACCCATTGGACTGTCCCTGCTCGTGGAGCAGTTAATGTCCATGCTTACTGTTTCTTAGGATACAGAGTAAGAAATTACTTTAGAGTTAACTACAAAACAGTGTCAAAGTGAGAAGAGCTGACTAATTTCATACTTACCTGCCTTATGAAAAGAAAGCTTGAAACCACCTGCCCCAGCGTGCCTGTTCATCAAAGGGGTGTGCGTCACCTTCCGTTTTATGAGCAAGTGATAAAGCAGGTAGCAGAGTCCAAGTATAAGTACAAGAGCAGGGGCTCTGGCGTCTGGCGTCCTCACTCGCCCACCCCCCTCCCTTGACTTCCAGCAGAGAGTGGCCGGTGTGGTTTGTTGGAATTCAGAAGGGCGTGTGAAGAGCCACTGGCTGCTGCGTTCTGCACACCTGAGCTGGGTGTGAGTGTGATGTGGCCAGAACCTAGAATAGGTGGGTGGTCCCGTGAGGGGGAGGAGGGATGCCACAGCTGAGACTGAGCTGTGGCAGCCCCCTGCTAAGCACCTGGCTCTGCTCTGGAGAAGCAGTTAAAGTTATAGCCGTTTATCAGATGAGAATGTAGGCATGTGGGTCAGCAAGGTGAAGTGATTTGCTCGAGATCGTAACTAGCATAATGAAGCTGACGTTTGCTATATGAGTTAGATGTAAGTTACCTGAGCCTCCATTCCATGGGTCCAGTTCCAGTGAAGCACGTGACTTTCAGGTAGAGCAGGGGTGGACAAAGTCTTAAAGGGCCAGATGGTAAAATTTTTAGACTCATGAGCCTAAGGTATCACAGTCCTTGTTGTACTCACACAGCTCTGCCAGGATGGCTCAAAAGCAGCCATGGATAGTATGTAAATGATGGGGTATGGCTGTGTTCCAAGAAAACTTTGTTTATAAAAACAGGTGGCAGCCCACAGGCCACCATTTGCTAACCCTCATTTGGAAGAACCTTGGGAGTTTCTGTTCATATGGGAAGAAAGCATTATCTCTGCTGAATTAGCTGTATAATGTTGGAGAGTGATAGCAGGTGGGTGGCCAGAGCCAGCTGTGCTGTGGTGTGACATAAGAAAGCATGTTTAGGAAGGGGAACTTCAGGGAAAATGCAGAGCCAGGTTGAGGTGACTCTGGCTAGTAAGATGAAACAGCTTATTTTAAATCCTTCACAGAATGGAGAATTATAGTCTGTAAATTACGGCTTTTTTTGTTGGGCGGTGGTTTTCAATTACAAGACACAAGACGTTTTAAATCTTGTAGCTCTCATGCAACAGTCAAGAGCTCAGATGGTACCGTGCCAAGCAGAAGTGAATGTTAGCACCAAGAGCCACGTCTGCATCTCACACACCTCTGCTCTGACATTCCTCTGCAGCCCAGCCCCAACCGGCGGGAAGACCGGCCTGTCAGCTTCTACCAGCTGGGGTCCAGCCAGCTTCAGTCTAACACTGCGTCTTTGGCAAGAGATGTCGCAAACCTTGCCAAGGACAAGCAGAGGAGTTTCATGCCCAGCATCTTGCAGAATGAGACCTATGGAGCCATCCTAAGCGGCAGCCCACCTCCCACCCAGCCTGCAGCCCCCAGCACCACCAGTGCCCCCCCACTACCCCCACGGAACATCGGCAAAGGTATGAGAATGTTAGCGGTCCCCTGTGAATGCAGAGGGTCTTGTTTTGCTTTGTGCTTTGGAAGTTTGAAGCTGCTTTGCCCCCAGCTAGGTGACATTTGGGCTCTTTTGTTTCGCAGTTATTTTCTGTTTGCTTCCTAAAGGGATTCCATCATTCTCATGACGCCAGATGGTGGTAGAGTCTCATGACTGGATTCTTATTCCTGGCAGAGGTGTGGCATCTGCGTGCTTGGGTAGTGTGGGGACTCCCCCAGGGCAGGCCAGGGTGCACGGTGGGCTGCTGGGGCTGGGAGCTTCTCTCCTGCAGATCTCCTCTGCATTCCTTTCTCTGCTTTTCTCTACTCGCTCCCCCCACCCCATGCCTTTGTTTTTGCCTTTTTTATTTCTCCTCTGCCTGCACCTGGGCCAGCTTGTGGCACCTGCGATTGTTTCTTATCCCTGATCCCTGTGAAATGAAGGATAAAAAGATACTAATTTGGGGAACAGTGCTCACCCTGATTGTAAAATACAAAGCTGGCCCTGTGGATCCTACCGTAAGGGCAAAGAGCTGTCCTCACCTCAGCTGCTCTGTCAGCACAGCGAGTTTGACGCAACAGGTGATATTTTTGATTTTTATAAATACGGAAACTGAAGCTTCCAAAAGGCTGAATGATTTGTCCAGTCCTGAAGACCAGCTGGCCACTGTGCTTGCTGAAGCAGGTCCAGCAAGCGACTGGCTCGGCTCTGGAGCTGCCAGCCGTGGCCCTCAGGGTTTCCCGTGTGAAGGAGGGGCTGCTCCAGCTTTGTTGAGGGGTGGCCTGGGAAGGACGAGAGCCTCCAAGAGCATGGTGTCCAGGCACTGTGGCTGCTGCAGCTGCTGTCCTTGTCGTGCTTATGCAGTAGCTGGTAGCCGGGAGGGGAGGGCAGGTGAGTGATGACAGTGGTGGCCGGGAGACCTGGCTTGAGCGGGGCGCTGACAGCTGCAGCCATCTTGCTGCACGTGTGCCTGGCAGTGTGGCTGGGCCCCGTCTTCCCCTGTCGTCCTGGGTGTCTCAAAGACCCTCCCACACAGCTCCGCGCTGGTCCCCTTAGGGAGGCCCGAGAAGTGATGGTAAACCTGTCGCTGAATCACACACCCCAGGAGCAAACCCGCAAGGGCAGGCCCAGAAACCAGCTCACTCACTGCCCCCACACACCCCGCACCCCAGACAGTGTCAGCCTTCTGCTGGACGAGAATGTCCCTGAGCAAGGAGGCAGCTGCAAGATCAAGTCCCACAGCTGCCGCCTGCTCCCTGCCACCCTCCTCCTCCTCCTCCTGAGTCCTGTAGATGGGCGTTAATTCTGTTAGGCCCACGGTCAGACTGGTTTGGTCATCTTCATTCCCAGTATTGGCTTTTACTGACTGTGTTTGTCACGTGAGGAGGGATTTTATTTTGCTCCGTTGGTTGGGTCACGGAAAAGGCATGGTTAGCTTTTCATCTTCGTTTCTTGGTTTCCTGAACGAAGTCTTAGAATTGGAGGGTTTTGATTTTTTTTTTTTCCTTTTCTCTTTTGCCATTCTTCCTTCTAGCGTCAGGTCTTCCTCCAAAGATGTATTAATAGATAGTACCTCTTACCTGCTGACCCCCACCCACCTCCCCCCGCTCCCGTCTGGCCTACTCGTGGTCTAGGATGGAATTCCCATGCCGCCAGCCTTGCATTTTGCGGCAGACCTTGCTCGCTGGGGGAGAGTGCGAAGGCTTCCTCTGGACCCTGTGGCCTGGCCCTGGGAGGGTGCGGGCCCCTCTCATTCCCAGGCCCAGCCTCTGACACGCAGTCGCACCCTGCACCTGGGACCCGTGTACCTGAGCTTGGAGCTTTGTGAGGTAGAGGAAGGACTTGTGACTGGGGAAATGCTGTCTCTCTTGTGGGTCACCTAAACCTACCTGGTGTCATCTGCCCTTCTCTGCACCGGCTCGGGCTGGGAATGGGGTGCTGCTCCTGGCGTGGCAGTGACAGCCACGGGGAGGGCTCAGTGGAAGGACAGAGATGAGCAGCGGCTCCATAAGCCCCGGTGCAATGCTCGGGGGAGATTATTGTGGCTATTTATTTCTATCTTCAAACAATATTTGTATTTGAGTAGTAAAATCAAGAACTTTTAAATTTCACAGTCAAATTGAGAAAACCAGCTGGGAATATTCCCTGAAGCATGTCTGGTTTAGGGTGTATCAGTATCTGTCTTCCAGATACCACAGACAAGGATTAAAAAGTTCATCCTGTTTACTATTCTAGAAGGGTCATAGTGACCATTTCACAAGGGAGAGGATCAATAACGCAGTGTTTTGTTTCTGTTTTTGTTCTGTGTGTGTGCATGCGTGTGCGTGCATGCGTGTGCGTGCATGCGTGTGGGTTTAGTTCAGACAGCCTCCTCAGCTAACACCCTGTGGAAGACAAACTCTGTAAGTGTGGACGGTGGAAGCCGGCAGCGATCTTCGTCAGATCCGCCAGCTGTCCATCCACCGCTGCCCCCTCTTCGAGTGACATCTACCAGTACGTTTTTTTCTTTTTCCTTCCTTGCCCGTGGGCTTTGTAGATCTGGATGGCAGGGGGGCGTCCTCAGCAGCCACACCGGGAGAGAGCCACGGGGCTGCACACTTGGCATAGACACATGCCGGCTGCCCGGCGCTGTGTGGCCACCTGTGGCTTCAGACTCCCATCTGTCCCCCGACCGCACCCCAAGGTGGCTCCCTCATTCCCTTCCTCTGTCTTCTAAAGGATTTTAGCAGCATTTCCTCCTTTACGCACTACCCTGGAGTCTCCTTTTCCTTTGGCCATTGGTGATTTTCAGTACTTGGGGACAGTCCTTTGGTTCATAATCTAGCATGTGTTTTTTTCAGTGTCAACAGGTGGTTGAAAGTCTCCAAAACCTTGGGTAGGGAAGCTGCAAGAGGAGGTTTTTAGGAAGAGGTTTTTCTCCAAAGCGCAGAGGCAGGGTGTCTTTTTTTTTTTATTAGGAGTGGAAAAAGCCCAGGATGCTGCCCTGTCTCCTGCTGCATCAGCTCCAGGGGAGGAGCCCAGCATCTCAGGGCTTTCATGGCTTCCAGAGCACGAGCATTCCTAGGGCGAGCTGGTTGTGGCTTCCTCAGAATAAGTTAAAATAGAAAGCAGCGTGGCCCGGGCCCAGGGAGCACGGTATGCGCACGGTGACAACCAGGGATGCTGCGCTGGCAGGTCTTCGAGGCTGGCCACGTGGAACAGCCAGGGGGTGCACAGCGGGCCAGAGCCCACTTTTCTGCCTCTCTGTCTTATGTCCCTGGGTCTGGATTTGTGTGCTAGAATCTGCCTTTTGACTTTTCCTTTAAAATGGAAAAAGGAAAGAAGAATAAAAAAAAAAAAGAAAGACTCTAACTGGATCCCTTCATTTCCCGCACCCCAGTTCCCCCCTGGCAGCCGTCCCAGGTGCGTGTTAGGTCCCGTCCTGAGGCAGATTGCCACTTCTAACAGGGACACAGGATGATAACCAGACACTCAGAAAGGGCTTCAATGCTCATCGGAGAGGGGAGAGACTGGGGGAAGAGGCTTGGCCTTGCTCTGGTTCTTACCAGCTCTGTCACCCTGGGTGAGGTCCCCTCACCTCTTGGAGCCTCAGTGCCTCACCTTGCAACGGGAATGGCAATAAACCTCTTTGCCCGGCGCACTTCACAGATTGTGGGGCCTTTACTAAGTCAGCTGCTCACAGCCTCTGCTTCCTCTGGCCACAGGTCAGCTGAGGGGAAAGAGCAGCCCTAGGAGGCCCCGGGCCCTGGGCAGAGGCAGCCCCGCCTGCGTCCTCTTAGGGCCGAGAGCAGAAGGCTGTGCCGGCTTCCCCACAGGGAATTCTGGCTGAGGAAGTACTCACTGGCTAATAGGAAAATCTTCACCGTGACTTTAGACTTGCAGCTTCCTTGTTAGTTTGGAAAGGACTCCCTGCCTGCTCCTCAATAATACGGTTTTCTGAAAATCAGCAAGGAAACAGCGGCAGGTTTTTTCCTTAGGAAATAGCAATAGAAAAAGGCCTCCAGGGAGAAGGCTGGAGGGGAAGCCCTGGGGCTGACCCCTGTGTTCTCTCATTTTCTCTCCGCAGATCCCCTGACGCCCACGCCGCCCCCTCCTGTAGCCAAGACGCCCAGTGTGATAGAAGCCTTGAGCCAGCCGAGCAAGCCCACCCAGCCCGTGGGCTCGCAGAGCAAGCCCCCACCTCTGCCCCCGCAGCCGCCCAGCCGCCTCCCTCAGAAGAAGCCTGCTCCCGGGTAAGCTGCTCCTGGCTGGGTGGCCCGTCCCCCTGCCTTGCTTGCAGGGAGCTTCCGGATGGCAGTGGCCCTACGACTCCACCTGCTGAGGTTGCCGTAGGAACACTTGCAATCCTGTGTTCCTGCTGCTGTAATGTGTGAGGCCAGGCGTCACCTAAACTAATTCGTCAGGTCTCAATTCATCAAGAATTTTTAAACTATAAAAAATTTCTTACAAACGTGTATCTTAAATCCACATAATGAATTTAGAACTGGGATTTTTTCAAGGTAAAGTCCTCAAGACATGGGACCCTCAAGGCTCTTTGCTGCTCACTGGCAAGGTCATCTGGAACACAGACCCTCTGCAGTGCGAGGTGTATGTTTCCTACAAACAGGGACCTTCTTCTACGCGAACGCACTTCCACCAGCAAAATCAGGAAATTAACATGGACGCCTTAGACCAAATTCAAATTTAGCCATTGGTCCAAATCATGCGTTTACTGCAGCGAGGTGCGGCGCACGCCTCTTCCTCTGGATCTTTACAGTGGGAAGCGGCGCGTTTTAGTGGAAATGGAACTCAGAGGCCAAGACCTGGGTGCTAGGGGGAGTGTCACTGCTCCCGGACAGGCCCTCTGAGTGGTCAGGACTTGCAAGTACACACACACACACACACACACACACACACATATGTGCATCAATACATTTACATAAACACACACCACTTACATTGCAAATCTTTCTGTGTCAAAATCCGCGCGTTCACGCTGTTGTCTCTGACTTCAGTTCTAGCAACAAACCACGCTAACACTGACAGACGTGAGGTGCAGCCAGTTTATCGTGCCCAGAGACGCTCAGGAATCCTGGTGGCGCAGGGGGCTTGTTCCTGCTCCACAGTATCTGGGCCCTTAGCTGAAAAGACCGAAAGGCTGGGGGTTCCACACAGGAGGTGGCGCGTCAGTGGGGACTGGTACCGTCGGAGGCTTCTGCCCTCCGCGCGTCCGGTGGTTGGCGCTGGGCTTCCTCACAGCATGGTGGCTGGGGCCAAGACAAGCCCCCAGACACAGGCCTAGCCCTGGAAACTGGCACAGCGATACTTGTGCCATCTGTTCCCAGTCAGACAGTGACGGAGCCTGGATGCTGCTGGGGACAGAGAGGGCTGTGGAGTGGCACAGGGAGTCAGACCCACCCCAGGAAGGGATTTGGGGCCAGTGTGTCACGGTCTCCATGGGGTTCGTTCTAATTTTCTCCTTTTCTGCACTTGCACCTTCCCTTCTGGGGGTGAGAATCCGGCTCCCGCATTTACCTACCTGATCGGTGCTGCTTTGCTGACGGACCTCCCGCCCCGCCTCCGCCGCGTCCTCTCCCTGCTCGGATCCGACTGCGGTTCCAGGACCGCCTCGGGCGCGCGAGCTCCGACCTCCCGCCACTTGATGCCCTCCTCACCCCATGTGGCTTGGACGCTGCTGTCAGGCCCCTCTCCCCGACGTGCCTCCGTGTTCCCCTCAGGTCGACTTGTCCCCACCCACACGATGGCCGCCTCTCCCCGCCGCTCTCTGCAGCGTGGGTGTTGCCGCCCAGACAACGGAGCCTCCGAGCGTGCAAACTACGGTCTTCAGTTCTGAGACATTTCGCTGATTTTTTTGTATTGCCTTAAGTTCTGGTTTTTTCCTGTTCTCTCTCTTAATATAATTCTTGCCCTTCAGAAGTCAGACCCCTTGGCCTTTCCTCTGAGTGTGTCGTCATTTCTCTTTTCGCTGGTGTCGCCTCACTGCTCTGACGGCCCCAGAGCCTCCGCGCTTCAACGCAGGGAAGGTGGCCCGCTGCCCACCCTGAGTTCAGGGCACGTGTTCCTGGCTGACCCCGGTCCCAAAGGTGGACCCAGACCCCGTCTGCCGTCTGACCCGCCATCTTCACATCCCGGGCCCAGGGTTCCTTCTGCAGGGGGAGAGGCGGTGGGCGGGAAGGCCCGCTGGGCGTTCACAGCCAGCTGACCGGCTGGGAGCGCCGCCCTGGGGCCAGGGAGTGTCCTCTGGCCCTCTGCTGCCTTCTCTTGTCCACTCCTGCTTTGTTGCTTGCCTGTTTTAAAGATCTGAGAGATTTTCTAGATTTTTGTCTTCCACTTCTTTTATTGAGTGTTTTTCATGCTTACTCTGATACAGTAACTCTCAAGTTAAATTCTTTTCATAGCAGCATCCTCTTTTTGTCTCATGAGACCATTTTCTCTTATCTCCCTGAGAACAGTAATGATGTGTGTTTGTTTTAGTTTTTGCTTTTCTGCATAGTGTGTTTCTTCCACATTGTCTTGATCTATATGTTAGAAGCGTCTCCCCACAAATCTGCTCCGGGTTCCTCTGTCCCTACTTCAGGGGAGGCGTTGGGAACTTGCAGACGCGTCCCACCACCCAGTGCTGCCAGTGCGGGCTCTCTGTGGCGTGGTCTGGTTGGGCCATTTGGTCGGGGAACTCCGCATTTGGGCCCTTTTTTCTTGGATAACTCGGGTTCTTTAGAGAATAGTCTTCTAGTCTCTTGTCTGAAGGATGTGAGTTTTCTGGGAGTTGAGTAGAGAAATACAGTTAAACTTTTGCTTAGTCCCTCTGCTTTTCAAGATACTCCCAACACCTGCACCTGGTATCCCCCAGTCCAGACACCCTCTGTTTTGCACTCTCCAAGCCTAGAAACTTCTGGTCTTTAGGAGGGTTGAGGGTAAGGCAGCGACCAGGCTATTCAGAGAAGGGGGGTATTCAGTAGCTCCTTAATCAGACATCAGACTAGTCCTTCTGTTGATCACTCTGCCTCGGCCCCACTTCAGCGCAGGGCAAACGGCAGCATTTTGGGTCTGCCTCGCTGCTGGCCTAGGGGCCCTTCCTGAGATCAGCTGACTGGACTGTGATCTTCCTCCCCTTTCCAGCTTCCAACATTTTGTTTCCTATTCTCTTTGTTCCTTTTGGTTTATTTTTTTAAAATCCTTTTCTTTGGGAGGAAGTAGAAGTAAATGTATTTTAATCTGCCACTTTGAACTGGAAGACTCCCAGAACTTTTAAAACGCTGCTTTGCAAGATAACTTTCTAAAATATAACACGCATATCTGTGCCTTCCTGTTCTTTAACAGCATATAGAAATGTAATTGGTTATTGAATTATCTTAATGAATATGCCCACACCTCTTATCAGCTTTCTTCCCTCTTCCCATACAACACCCTTGGATTTGCTCTTTCCAAGTTGCTGTTTTTCAGGAGATCAAGTCATGTGCTGAAGTTCTGGATAAGAAACAGCCCCCAGCAATCATAGGGAGCTCTGGGAACAGGGGGAGGGGTCTGTCAGTGCAGGTTTTGGGGTGCACTCTTTCTAGCCACTGAGGCCTCTCTGCTTTCCTGGCTCTCAGAGGAGTTCTAGCTGGGGCTACTGGATGAGTTTCCTCCTAGCACGGTCTTACCTGGTTTCAGATCACAGTGCAAGGGGAGGTTGGGCAGGACGGAGCAGGTGAGGTTAGAGTATGTCCAAGACAGATGAGGACGGGTGGAATCGTGTTGTCAGCGCCCAGTGGAGTTCTGTTTCTAAGGGAACACACTGGTGTGTCCTCTTTGTAAAGGAAGCAGCACCTCCCCACCCCCAGCAATAATCTTGTCCTTGGTATAAATCTGGGTTTCACACCTGCTTTCTTATGGCAGGAGTCGGCAGACACTGGCCCGCGGGCCAGACCCAGCCCACCTCCTGTTTGTTATGGCCCAAGAGAAAACAATGGCTTTTTTGTTTGTACATGACTGGGGAAAAAATCAAAACAATATTTTATGGCACATGAGAATTATGTGAAATTCACATTTTGGTGTCCACAGATACAGTTTTATTGGAACACAGCCGCTCTCGTCGGTGCATGCATTGTCTGTGGCTGCTCTTCACGCCACCATGGCCGGGTCGAATAGTTGTGACAGAGACTTTCTAACCTACAAAGCCTAAAAAATTCACTATCTGGCCCTTCAAAGAAAAGGTCTGCTGACTGCGGTCTCAGAGGCTGAGGCCTTCCCTGCGCGTGTTCTGTAGTTGGGGGTGACCTCGGGCCAGGAGGTGGCCGGGTCGGCATCATGATGTCTGCGGAGACAGTCACACCCAGAGACGTTGATGGGAATCAAATGGCGAGACCAGCTGTGTCTGTGGGGCCTTTATTTATGCTTTTTCGCTTTCTTGAATATACGAGCAAAGCCAATGTTAGGTTTTCTCCAGCCTCGTTCTGAGGCCGCAGCACCAAGGCCCAGGCGGGGTTCATTCGTGGCTGTGGAGGAAGAGTCCGAGCGTGCGGCGGGGAGAACGCCATCCCTGGCTTCCCTTCCTCCCCAGCCTTCCCCTTCCGCCTCTCCACCCCCCGCCCCCTTTGCTCACCACGACCCTGTTGTACATCCGGCACCCTGTGAGGTCCGGCAAGACCCACCAGGGAACTGGAGGCTCCTCTCTCGGCTCCTCCCAGACATGTGGCATTGTCCCTATTTCGAGAGTTGATGGACCTGGTGTCACTCAACACCTTTTGCAGATGGAAGTACCAACTCTCTGGAACACACTTACCCAGGTCGACCAGACAGCAGGTCTGAGTTTGATAGACCCCACCTGTCAGCCCTGAGAACCGCTCCCTTACCTGTGTGTTTCTACCCCGTGGCCTTGGAATGTGCTGAGCCTGTGGTCAGTCACATCCGGTCCCAGCAGCAGGGACCACAGAGGCACAGACCATGCTGTTCAGTGGTGCTCGGGCAGGTCCTGGCAGAGCCTTCTGGGCCTGAGATTAAGATCCGGCCCTTCCCTTTCACATGAAGGGACCAAGACCCAAGCAGGGAAGGGGCTGAGCAAATTGGGGCAGAGCCCGTGGCTAGTGCCCAGCTTCTAGCCCCGGACCCCGGTCCTTGGCTGCAGGCCCACATGGACAGCGTACCCTGGTTATAGGGTCAGGACCTCTCGTTCCTCCTTTTTTCATAAAGAAAGAGCTAGCTAAATGGCAGTTGAGGAAATCAGCTCACGTGCGTTCAGCGTGAACCCAGATGGTTCCCACACTGTAACAGGGTTGCGCTAGGGGCAGGTGACTGGGGTAGCAGTAAGTCTGTTTTTCCCTGTCTTCGTAGGGCTGACAAGCCGACTCCACTGATCAACAAAGGCCAACCGAGAGGACCTGGTAATTATTTAATTTGGGGCTGGGTTTGTTTCTGCTTAGCCTGTGGGGCTCGTGGGGGGATGTTGCCAGCCAGGTGGTCGGTGCAGAGGGAGGGCCCCCCTGCCCGCCCCAGCCTCTGGTACGCTGCTCCTGAGCAGCTTGCTGCTGGGCTCCTCATTCCCGTCCCCTCCTGCTGACGGGGTGGGCTGGGGAAGGCCCCAGGTGACAACCTGACTCACTTTGGGACTCTTACCCACCTTGCACGCCCTGTAAGGGCTGCATGCAAGGCAGAACATTCTCGGTTTTTAGGGGACTTTTCCCTCAACATCTGGGAAATCTGCTTTTAGATGAGACTCTGTGGCTTTTATATTTACTGTTTACATCTCATGTTTATGATTGATGGGACATCTTGTAAAGTTGCTTCATTTTTGCCCTAAAGCAGTGGACCTCTCTGGAACAGAAGCTCTGGGTCCTCTGTCCAACGCCGTGGTCCTGCAGCCCCCTGCACCCATGCCCAGGAAGTCGCAGGCAGTAAGTGGACGAGCCCCCTTTCCTGCCCCTCTGCTCTGGCCAGAAGGGCGCAGGGGAAACAGATCTTTCCCTCTCCCCCTGGTTGCAGCAGGACAGGGGTCTTCGTCCTGGTACCTGGCTGCCTGGGTCTAGGCCGCTGGTGGGCTTGGCTGTCTCACCACAGCTTCAGGACAAACCTGCCACGAGCACCAGGCCTGGCTGCTTGTTTCCCAGCTCTCCCCTTTCTGCTGGGCTGGCAGCTTCCCCGTTCTCTCCCGGCTCCCGAGCTGCACTGACCTGCCCCGCTGTGGCATCTGTGGGCTTCCCAGGCCCAGGCCCGGGACTCCCGAGACCAGCTGGACCAGAGGGGTCCGGTTCTCTGCCCCAGGAGATTTGGCCTCCTGCCACACTGACCTATGCCCCTCTCCTCTCCTGACACAGACCAAGTTGAAGCCCAAGCGGGTCAAAGCGCTCTATAACTGTGTGGCCGACAACCCAGACGAGCTGACCTTCTCCGAGGGTGATGTGATCATCGTGGACGGGGAGGAGGACCAGGAGTGGTGGGTGAGTCGGGGTTGGGCCCGGGAGGGTCCCCGGGGGCTGAGCCGCATCCCTGCCCACCTGGCTGGACAGACCTGCTCACAGGTGAGGTTCTCCCAGTCTGAGCAGTCCAGTCCTGGTGCCACTGCTCAGTCCTCAGGCCACCAGCCACTCTGCCCCTTAGCTTCCTCAGGTGTCTCTTCCTCCGTGGACACCCACTATGAGCAGGCCTGATTATTCCCCAGGGTGGCTTCCTCCCTCATTTAGGGTGGGCAGGCCACGTGGGCTGCAGCTCATTTGAGGGCCTGGAATGAGACCCCTTCATTCCAAGGCCTCGAGTTTCTCTGCCTTCACCTGCCATTGCTGGATTAGTGGAGTCCGGTGTCTAGAAAGGGAGCTGACCTGGAGGGCAGAGTCCCGGGCACTGGTCTGGTGCTGATGCGAGCTGGGGGCTGCTCAGGCATCCAGCTGGGCTCCGGAGCAAGATGAGTGCTGGGGTTCCCCTGGCGACCCTAAGAATTCAGACTCAGCCACTTAACAGTCTAGTGGCCTGGGACAGGTTGCTTTTATCTTTAAGCTTTAGTGGCATCATCTGTGAGAGGGAGTGTACGCACAGCACTGTGGGAGGATGATGCGGCGAGCACGCTCTGAGAGGCAGCTGTCTCCAGTGAGGGTTGTAGGGTTCACCGACTTGAGTGAAGCAGGTGCGCGAGGCACTGGGCAGCGTCTGCCGCACGCTGCGTACGAGTGGCCCAGCCCTGCAGACGGGGCCCAGCTAGCGCGTAGCTCAACTGACGACTCAGGCAGGACTTAGGGAAACTGCTCTGCTTTGCCAAGTGCGAGGAGTTTGCATCCTGCCCCTAGCAGAGCTTCCACCTGTTTAAACTGTGAGCTCTTAGCCTGCAGAGGTTTTGTGAACTCACAGGGCCTTGCAGCACTGCTTTTGGCCTGGATTCACCAATCTTTCCTGTGGCTTCATTTCCCCTTGAGGGATTAGAAAGTGCCTGTGGGCTAGGAGCCCCCGCAGCCGTCAGCGCGCAGTAGGGCAGGCCCAGAAGGGGCCGCAGCGCCTGGGCTCCTGGTTCCAGCAAGGAGACAGTGCCTGGCTGCACAGAGGTTATGAGGACCCGAACTTGCTACAACCAGCCAGACCCCCCTGGTTGGCAGAAGTGGGGCTGGCCTGGCTCCCACACCGCTACAGTTCCCTGTGGGGTGGGGGGGCTCCGATTTGACAACGGGCTTAGCCATATGGAAAATGCCTAACTGTTCATTTGCCTAACTATGGAAGTTACAGAAAGGTATGAAGAAGAAAGTAAATGTTGCCCATAATCACGGCCCCCCCAACCGCCCCCCACCCCCCAAAAAAGCCAACCATTTATATTTTGGCAATTTTTAGGCTTTTATTTGCCTACATAGTTTACGTTTTTTTTTTTTTTGAGACAGAGTCTCACTCTGTTGCCCTGGCTAGAGTGAGTGCCGTGGCGTCAGCCTAGCTCACAGCAACCTCAAACTCCTGGGCTCAAGCAATCCTCCTGCCTCAGCCTCCCGAGTAGCTGGGACTACAGGCATGTGCCACCATGCCTGGCTAATTTTTTCTATATATATATTTTTTTAGTTGTCCAGATCATTTCTTTCTATTTTTTAGTAGAGATGGAATCTCGCTCTTGCTCAGGCTGGTCTCGAACTCCTGACCTTGAGCGATCCACCCGCCTCGGCCTCCCAGAGTGCTAGGATTACAGGCATGAGCCACCACCACGCTCGGCCTGTTTACATTGTTGAGATCATGTTTGGATGTAATTTATATAATTTATATAATTTACCCAGATTTATTGAAGCCTTCTACACATGCTAGACTAAACTCAAATGGAGCCAATTCACACCTTTCTGCGACTGTGCATTTCACAAACTTAGGAGTTTCTTCATTCATTGAAAAAAAAGCAGGTGGGGAGTGGCAGTCAGATAGCTGACCTGGGTGCCCCGGGACTGCAGGCCCAGACGGGGGTGTCTGAGACACGCCTGGTAGGAGTTCCTCGCACAGAGGAGGCGTGCCCTGTTGGAAATGTGAGTGAAGAAAAAAGGAAAAAATAGTTTAGATGTTTTACCTAAGTAATTCTTTGTCAGAAGAGATTCTTCTGAACAAATCTCTTTTTTTCCACGAAATGCTACATGTAATGCCCTTCAAAGTTACCAACATTTGGAATTTTTACAATAACCTAAACTTCTATTCATTCTAGATCGGCCACATTGATGGAGATCCCAGTCGTAAAGGAGCATTCCCTGTATCATTTGTGCACTTTATTGCCGACTAAATTGCTACTGAACAAAAGCATTTCCTATAACAGTTACGTTCCTGTTTCATTATTGGTACCAAAACTCTTGCCAGATATAACCAGTTTCATGAATTGTACGGTAACCCATTTTCTCTAATACTACTGTTCTGTTTTTAAAACTCAAAGGCAATTTTTACACATAAATGGTTTTTTATAATTTGTGGTTTTCATAAAACATTGTTATGCTTTTATTAGGAAAAACTAAGTTTCCTAAAAGGTGAACTGAAAAGTTATTTTAACTATATAATCAAGATCCTGCATCTATAGAATTAGTAAACCTAAAAATGTTTGAACTAAGAGTATTAGAAGTAAATTCTTCTTGCTTTCCTTGGCCCAATTCTGGAGTTGATGATCTTTTTGCACAATTATTATTTTAAAATAGGAAGCCAGTAAACTGCTGCTTCAGAAGTCCATAGCTCAGGCCTGGACTTTCAATAAAATGTTACCAGTTCACCTTTTAAAGACAGGTATTCCTTTGTAACCCATCCAATGTTTATTTAAAGCAACTTGGAAATTTACACGTTAGCGGTGTACTTTCTAGCCCTAATTTGTGAGGTTGCAGCTATCATATTCTGCATGTGTGTATAACCTGTTGTTGTGAACAATCATACTTAACAAAACTACTGATGGTTTATTACAACATATGATGATTGCAGTTAATTCAGTTCCAGGTTATATAAAACTGCATTTCCTGAATTTGGTTAAAAACTAAGGATGATGGATTGCAAAACAGTTCTTTAAATTAGTTTATATGCTTTAGGTGTTTTGGAATTTGCCTTCCTAACTTCCTTAACCACACAGAAATCAACTGTACACAGAATTCTGTGGTGCAGACCACGATATATTAACATATCACCCGCTGTTTCTTGTTGAGTGTACCACTGCCTTCCCTTCCTAGCCCACGAGAATGTTTACTCAGTTTATAGTGTCTTGTATTTATATAATATTACAACAGGAATGGTAGTTATACTGTCTTAAAATTTAATCTGTCCATCTGTTTATAATCAAGAGCATATCAGAAATCTATAGGTCCCAAGTAATAAAATATTCCCAAACATCCCAGTTTTTACTATTTAGGGCCATCATATCATTCTTAAGCTACTTGGGGCGGGAGTGGGGGGATTAGGTTGTATACTATAAAATCAAAACTCATTACTTTAATGAAATTGACTGTCATACCTCTATTTAGTAATTGTGACCGTAAGATTCATAGTAGGAATATTGGAAATTTTGGCACTCTTTGAGAATAGGCATATAATGCCCACTTGGACTTTTAACAAAAGTAAAGGAATAAATTTAAGTATAGGCTTGGAAAGTGAGGAAACAATGCTATTACTGCATTTGTCATGATGGTACATTTGATTGAAGCAGCCTGTCTGTAGTATGCAAGACTCTTGTAAGTGTAGAGTTGTTTTTTTTTTTTTTCTTCTTGGCATTATACTTTTTGTTGCTATTATAAAAGAAAACAGAACAAACTGGAATCTTTTATGATGTTGTATAGCAATTGCTTTTTGCCTTTCAAAGTTTCGGGTAAAAATGTGTTAGATCTGTAATTAAAGTCTTTTCTTTAAAGCACTACATCTATTTTCACTAATTGTTAATTTCTCTTGTTTGAACCCTTCATTTAGTTAATTTTCTCATAGGTTCAAGAAAGTAAACATATTTTGCACAGTGCACTTACTCTAACGATCCTCTGCATCTGTCTTATAGTCAGCCTCGTGACTACCTGGTGCCAGCTACATAAGGAATAGTTGATTCATGTCAGCATTTGAACTCCAGTCCCAATCTATTCTGTCAGGTTCACTGGTACATAAATATTTAGGAAATATTTTTCCAGTCCACAATTTGGTGGTGCTATTGTGCAGTAATTAATAGTACTCTTGCCAGAGGAAAAATTACATTAACTTCCCTGCTAATATCCTTTCTTAGTTATTTGCTCTTTGCAAATTAAAAAAAAAAAGCATCTGAGAGAAAGGAAAACATTGTAGATATCTATTTATATTTAAAGTTTACGTTTCATGAACTTGAGCTGCAGGATTCTGGCATTTTGCATGCCATTTGCCATCAGATCTGACTTCTAGGGATGATGACTGAAATCTGTGCACAGACTAATAGTTACTGTGTGACGTGTCAAGGGGTGGTAACAATATGCAGCTTAGAATGCTATTTTGAGATGTATGATATTCAATTCATTCACTCGATTACTTTGGTCTAGTTGCAGCGCAACTGTATATATTGTATAACCTAAATTGATTCTTATTTTCATTGTCCTTAATGCAGTGATTTATAATTAGAGCATGTTTAATAAGTTTACTCTTCTTGTTAACTAGTCATTTGACTGGAAAAAAATAAAATACTTTTAAATGGACATGGTTTAATGTTTTTAATCTTTAAAGTGTTGTATATTAAGTCCTTTTTTTAAAAAAAAGTATACTCACATACTGTACATGAGATCCCTTAAATATCAGTTACTTGTGGCATGAGCAGTTATCTTTTAAGGTTCTCTTAACTCTGAGATGAACATTGTGATTTACTAGCGTGTGATCTTGACAACACGCTTTTGAAAAGTTGGCAATATCACTGTCCCACACCAGCATGAATCCAGGTCCCCAGTCCAAACCTCTGACTCACTGGAGTTCCAAGCCAGTAATGTCACCTCACTGGGAAGCTGCTACGGAACACATTCATTAGTCTTCCTCAGACAGGTCCTCAATATTCACTGAGTGGACTTTTGTGACACTTAGGTGTTAAGCTTATTTCTGTTTGAAAATGACAAATGTTTCTTTTTTTATCCCAGAAAGTAGATGACTTCATTGAGAGTAAACTCACTGTATGATACAACACATTTTAATATAAAAACAAATGATCGCTTTTATATGTTGCGTGTTCTTCAGAAAATCTAGAGCAAGGGCTCACTGCGTATTTCCGTAACAGTTCAGCATTACAGATTGAAAACAACTGTTGAGAAAACAGCCGAACTTCCAGATGAAGTTGACTTCCATTTGATTGCAGAATTCAAGATTTCTCAGATGTTAATACTGAGTCAAAAGCAGTGGATAAAACTTTGCAAATTGCTTGTGCTTGTTCCTACAGTATGTGAAAAGATACAATAAGAACAGTGTTCATAAATCTCTTCCTGAACTTAATTTGACCAGCAAAGGCATAAGCCTGACCCTCTTGATGCTTCTCCTAAATCTACACAGCAGCAGTTTGGGGCGCCATCTACACTGCCTAGATCGGTGGACCCGTGCTGTGGGCTCCCTTGCATATGGGCCCTTTGGCTTTCCTTCGGTGAAGAGCATACACAGTAAATGCACAGATCCTGCAGCCTGTGAGAAGGATGCTGAGTCAGCGAGGACAACAACAAACAGAAATGGAGGGAGCCTCTGGCCCATGAAGGACACACCACTTTTCCTCCACAAGTTTACCCTAAACCTTTAAATCCAGGCACAAGTGAGTGCTACTACTGGGCCTAATAGAAATAGCTCACAACCTGCACTAAGTCTGGACAGCTGGCAGACCTAGAGCCTAATATTCATTCATTACTATTGGTCAGGTATTGGATACATAGTGGATAGCATTTCTTCAGCCTTTGAAAAGAATGTAAGTCGTCTCTGGGTTTTGCCACTTGACTTGATGAATAGGAAACTAACCAAGGTAACTTAAAGTCTCACCAAGCTGTTGCACTGATAAACCCACAGGCTGTATTCTTCATTGCTTGCATCTGTGGTCTTCAGAGCCAATAAGCTTTTTCCTGCCCCCAGACCATCATCATAACACACCATCCGGATGATTAAATATAGAGCATGCCTGTGCAAAACATCCTGCAGAAATCAGGAAAATTTCAAAAAGATCATGACTATTTTAAATGTTTCTCAGTTCTTATAACACACATCTTTGCAAGCAGATTGTATTGTGAGGCTTTAAACAGCATATCCCTGGATCTGGCAGAAAGTAGCTATATAGGTTTCTCACCCCAAGAGATGTTCCAATATGATCCGTTATGGGGCAATTTGCCTTCGGGATCACACCTTCCTCCTTAAATCCCAGAAAGACAGGAGTGGGGTGATCTAAACTTACTAACTTTGTCTCTGCCCACCTTCCAAGCTGACAGCTGCTCTTGACTGATGTGGGGTCTTAAGTTGAAAATGCATTAGAAACCATCAGTGGGGGCTTGTGTAGGCCCTACCTACACAGGAGGTGCCCTATTCACCGTAACAAACTGGTCACGTTTGAGACCAGCTGCCAGGAACGTTTACAAACCAACCACTCTGCAAACAGGAGCAAACCTAATTGTAAGTGGGCTCTTAATGGCCTGAATTCCCTTTTACCTAAAAGAGATTTTTTTTCCCTTAATAAATTATATTACTTACATACTGATCTGATGTTGATACTTTTATACCATACTTGGAAACGCCCATAATAAATTCTTCCTCCAGAGGAACAAAAGGCAACTTTCCATCTTGCTTTAAAGTAAAAATAAATCACATGATAAACATTAAAATTATGTTACGGTCTTAAGTGTGATTAGTCACATTTAGTATCTGGCCATCACAAACCCAAAACCCTTTCAAGAATGTGGGGTACACGTTAGCTGGGCAAGAATTTCTCTCCAAAGAGACAGAAGAAAATTACCTCCCCCCTCTTTTTGACAGCCCACAGATCTGAGCAAAGTCCAGACCCATCCACTTCATGCGTATTTCTATCCCTTTGTCTTGGACTGGTGTTACCCATAATTACAAGTATCTGAGATACTTCTCACAGATCCTGGTGAGGTTAAAATATTTACATTAGAAGAATAAAGGTCTGTATTGCAATTCAGAAATACTCAAAGCTTATACTAGTGTCAGCACATGGACTGATCAGGAAGCAAGGCTGCAGGAACCATTTTTCTCAGTCATCCTGTGTCCGACCCAGACGGGAAGACGTGTCTGGTTATCTCCAGGACTTGGGGCTTTGGGCTGGCAGATGCTGCTGATGAGCGGTTACTCGGCTCACAAAAACATTAATCAGTATTTTTGTTATTCTGAGTAAAACAGCAGGTAAGACCTGATGGTTTCCCTAGTAGATTATCTAGTTTTATGTCCTAAATCAGAATACTGCCTAATTTGTCTCCTAAAATAAATAAGAAACTATTGGCAATCAGTAGATGTTCCATATTGTAAATGTTTTTGTGGAACCATTTGCCTGTGTTAAAGAAATTATGGTAAATAAGCCACATCCAAATACCTTAATTCTCGGGTCCTCACAATGTTGTAAGTACCCTCTTACCAATCATTCTCACAGTAAGTTTAAAGCAATTCCAAGAATCAAAATCCAGGATAATAGTAATGCTATCGTCAATAATGGAATTTGAACAAGCAAAAATTCTACGGTGATGTGAGAAATTTAAATTGTTGTAGGAATGAACATAATCCTAGTGTATTTTTGAGGGGAAACATTATTAGTAATCTTTCAGTACAATACTTAGATTAGCTGTTGCTTATACAGTAAGTCCTCAGCATCACTCACAGGTTCTTGGAAATTACTACTTTAAGCTAAACGATGTATATAATGAAACCAATTCTTTTTCTTATCAGCATTGTAATGAAAGGACCCTGAATAATGAGTTATTTGAGGACCTGCTGTAAGTCGTTTCATGTAAAGTCACAGTTTGCAAGAACCTGTTGACAATGTCAAGTGAAGACTTACTGTACTTTGTTAGAATGACTTTATATTCTAAACTAAATGCTGGGATACTAACTGTATTAGTCCAGACTACCAAGAGTTCTCTGTTAAATGGTAAATTAGATTCACTGATTTCATTGAAACAGAAGTTAACTTCCATTACTTTCTCAAAGATATGAGACATATTTAATGGTCTCATTCTCCATGATTTAAGAGATTGTATGTTCTTAAGGTTAACTAACACACTGAACAGATGAAGGACTCTTTCCACCACGGTAATATCCCTTTGTTAAGGAACACGTAAAAATGGAGTTTCATTTTCTAGAAACTCCGGAAGCAATTTACTAACTGTACGATTAGTCCTTTGGCTCATCCATTTCCACCGTGGCAAGGGGACAGACCTTAGAATATTTTAGGCACCAACTTTACACTTGTGATTTATCTTAATTTTCATTCATGATGATTTCTTTATTTTTTATCATCTTGACCTGGATTTATTTTTGAAACCCACCTCACCTTGATTCTTGTTAGAAACAGGTATGTATAAACAAACACGTTAGGTCAACATCACTATGAATTAGATTAAGAGATGAAACAAGTTCAATGAAGATATAGTAAGGTTTTCCCAGATTGTCTTAAAAGAAAAACCTCTGGAATGTAACCTGTCACTACAATCAGCCCCATAAAAAAGTAAAAAGTACTATGTTTAAAGGAAGGAACAGTGTCTGCGTTCCTGTGCGGCTCAGTCCCTAAGACACCTGTACCGCCGAGGAGCACAGAGCTCAGTAAATACTTGTAACAGTGATGAAATCGTGGCTTCAGGGTAAGATAGCACAGTGCCATCCAGTGGGCCTGAAAGAGCAAACATCTTTCTCCAAAGCCAGGACTTTACAGAATCTCAACCAGAGGCTTTAAATCGGAATTTTTTTCCATTTTTTTTTTTTTTTACCTGGGCAACATCTATATAATTTATCAGGTCTAGTGGCCCTTCCAGACATTTTCCCTCAGAGAGTTTCAGCTTCTCAATGGCACCAACATATTTTATTCGAAATTCTGCACAGGTATCTGAATTATTGTTGCTTTGTCCTAGAGATGAAAGAAAAATTACGATGGTAAGACTTCAAAAGAAATACCTGCATTACGGGTATCCTCAGTCCCTTCCCAAATAAAGACGAGACTGTGTCATTAGAACATAACCTTTAATTACAAATTTTTATAATGCGCAATTTTTTGATGTAATGAGAACAAACTTAAAATTCCACTAACCTTTTTCCTCAGTGACTCACAATATACTAAATGTACAAAGGTCTCAATAATAGGAATGAATTGATAACCTTCATTTCAGAACAAATGGGAGAAAAGTCTACTAGAGAATGATTACCTTTACAGTGCACAACGATACTGAATTAGTTTTTGGTTCCTGCCCCCTCGTCACCATGTTAACTTTCTTTCCTGACTGAGGAAGCCTGCTCTTCCTCTACCATTCAGCCCAAAAAGACCACACAATTTTTTTTTAATGTAGATGGAATAATGCTAGGCAGGAAGTCCCGTAACAGATGGCAACAAGTTGAAGAACTGTGTGTGCTATAAAATCTAGCCAATACAAAAACTACCACAAACTACCCACCATATTAAGGAAATACTTTGTGATTACTTTTAGCTTATTTATATAATGAAAAGATATCCACATCTTTAATATTTTAAAGGCATCTGGAAATCAAGATAATGGACTTAATGCTACAACATTCTCTTTATAGATTAATGATCCTGAAGGGAAAAGTAGGATTTTCGGCAAGAAAATGAGTATAGTATATTTCTAGTTAGTCATCAGCTATTTATGGAGCTTGGGTTGAAGCCACTTTTTGATTTCTAAGGACCTAGTAATTTCAGGCAGCTGCATAAATGTTGCAAGGATCTGTGACAGATGCTCCCCTTAATTACTTGTGTTCCTTGTGGTCGTGAGCAAGTGTATCTCGGGGTACTTTGGGGTAAATGGCTCCTTAACCCTTTAATCACCAAGACATTTGTCCTCTTCCCCATAAACAACATAAGTCTAATATAATTCACCCTCTGCCACCCCATTTCTTAAAAAGCTATTTGAAACTTCTAAATTATTGCCCACAATGTTTTCAAACATTTTTACTCTAGAACCCATTAACCATTTTGCTGGAGTGCCTGAGCTAACCTCCAAGCCGATGGTTTTCACTAACAAGCCACACCCCCAACCCACGTCCCACCAAATCTTGGCCCGTTTCTAAACTCTTGTCAAAAGTGGCAGAGGAGAGGAAGAAAACCGCGAATGCATGAGAACTCATTGTGTGACACTGGTGAAACTATACAAGCATAAGCAAAAAGGCTTAGACAAGAAATGATCCAATCCTCGTATGTACCTGAGCTTTTGGTAGAATCTGTATCAAGGCTGGCCACAGTGCTGGATCGGGAAAGACCCCCAAGGCTAGAATCTACAGACTGAGAAATAAAAAAACAGATAAACAAAAAGCATGCGCATAATAAGAAGCTTCTCTGAAGTTCACTACCAAACCCATTGAAGTTACTTGTGATGGCTGAGCTGACACATACAAAAGCAGGTCAGTCATTCAGGAAGGTTGACTGCAACAGATTTTTCTAAAGACAAATTCTGTAGCAAACTTCAAAGAAACACATAGTCCCAACTGCTCTTCCCATAACGCAATATTGGATAAATGGGGCAGCAATATTCTTAGTCCAAATCTAAGTCATTTTCTCCACCTCCTCACAAGATGCCTTATATTAATATCCCTTGTGAAAATCTACACCTTGCTTTCACTTTCTTTCCTCTGAACCCAAACCAACCATGTGCAGAAAGCCAGGCAGGGACTATTACCCTTATTTAATAAATGAGGAAAGAGACCAGAGACATTAAATGAGATTTACCCAAGGTCACATCTAGTAAATAACCTCAGAACTCAAACCTAGATCTCCTAATTCCTAACCCAGTGCTTCCGCAATGATTCTAACTAGTAAGCGGCCCACAGCAGTAATTCAGAGGCTACCTGGCAGACCAGGGCGTCACTGGCAATGTGAACTGCAATGAAAATCAACAAAACTGCTAAGCGAAATACAAAGAATCACATATGCAAGTGGAGTTTGTTCTACAGAACTATACTCTCAATGTGCTTAATTTCCTTAGAAATAACATTCTGTGCAAACTCTTGATTCAAAAAATGAGTTACTTTTTGCAACTTAAATCAAAATTAAATTTTCTAAAAGTACAGTCAGAAGTTTAAGAAGTGAACCAAAGATGAATGCAAAAATACATCAAGTCTTAAGTATGTTTCTTCCCTTTTTCAATAATTGGACTTCTTGGAATACAATCTAAAATGAGAACAAGCTGTATGCACTAAGATACTATGTGCAGTACTGGAAAATTGGACACAGACTAAACATTCAATGGGCAGGAGGGAGGGGGAGTTGGAATTAAGATGCTATTACAAATTCAGACTGGCTCCTGGGATGTGCACAGCTCCTGAATGGAGGAACAGTCCACCAGGAAAACAGCAGTACCTCGTGACCTCTGAATAGGAGAACAGGAAGGAAGAAACTGATCTATTTTCCCCATGTTCAAAATATTAAACAACAAAAGCTTACATCATCCTAAAACACAAATCTACAGTTGCAACTTTGCTTAAAAATCACACAGCGTTCCCCTATCTCTTCAGAATAAGATCCTCACCCCCGGCATGGTGTACCACGGCCTCTTCTGCACTCCCAGGCCCCTGCCCAACTCGGGTGCCTGAGCTGGGTCACCAGCCACATGCCAAGCCATTAGTCAGGTCCTGGTAGGAATCATAAAATGGAGGGTCTGGTCCTGGCTCTGCAGTAGCAGGCCTTGAAGTCTCCACCTGTTTTCTAATGCAGAAAACAAGAGATTGGGCCGGATCACCCATTCCCCTCTGGGGTCCGCACACTTAAGGCTATGAAAGCAGCAGCAGGGAGGTTCTGTTTGTGTTGACTAGCTCCAAGAGTTCAAAAATTTTAAAGAAAATGGTTAATTTCTAAGACTGCACAGGATTCCTAAATTGTCAAGTTTCTGTGCTTTTGGCTAGACGTCCATCCACTCAGCTGTGGTAACATTGCTTACCCTGCCCTGACTGGACATTCTGCACGGCAGTCCCGTGCAGAATTATTATTAAATAATAATAAATCAATTATTTAAAATAAATCAACATCTCTCTCTCTCTAGGATATAAACATATGCTACCAGTTCTGTTTCTCTGGAGAACCCCAAATAATACAACTTCCTTCACGATTTCAGCCCTAAAATCTCCCCATTCTCTGCATTATTCAAGTAATACTTGTCATTACACCACACAACTTCACATTTGCTTGGTTACTAACTGTGTCTGGACTATCTCCTGTTTATTGTGAAATCATGTCCCAAACGGTATCTGCATCCAGGTGGAAATACCTGGAAGGATCAGTTTTCTCCTCTTCCCACAGCACCCGGGACAGTGCTAAGCACCACAGACAAACATTAACAGGTATTAACCCACACGCCGAACAGCTAGATCATTGGTGGCACCTGCTACCCCAAATGTTTCTACGCCTACCAGCAAGGTCAGGAGAGAGAAGTATGTGAAAGTGATTTCTCCTTTATAAAGCACGTCAGCCAACTGTTGTTATTTTAAGGGTTTAAGCTTGATTCCTCTTTATCTCATACTCCACAACCAATCTATCAACACGGCCTGTGACTGCTCCTCTCGAAATCGCTCTAGAACCTGAGCTCTCCTCACCTTCCTCCACGCCCCGTCCGAGCCCTAATCTCTCTCTCAGGTGATTCCAGCACCCTCCCAACTGCTCTCTCTGCTCCTGCCCTGGCCCTGCTTTTAGTGGCCAAAGTGACCCCAGTTAAACTTACATAAGATTCTGTCACTGCCGTGCCCCAAACACCCTGATGCTCCCCTTCTTACACAGGGTAAAAGCCCTGGGCTTCCTGGGCCGACAAGGCCCCTGCCCCCCGCCCACCCCAGTCATGCTGGTCTCCCCTCAGTCCCTCAGACACTCGGGCACCCCGCTCCTCTGGGCCTTTGCTCTTGCTCTCTCCTCTCCCTGAACCGCTCTCCCCCGGATCTCATCACGGCTCCCACTCTCCTTCTGGGCCCTGCTCAAATGCCACCTAGGGAATACACGCTCCCTGCCCAGGCTGTTTGAAACTGCATCACTCCCAACCTCCCACCCTTCCCCATTCCTACAATTTCTTCCTCCCATGTTAGTTTGCACCGCCTGACATTTTATATTTCACTTATGTATTCATTATTTCCTCCCCCAGCTGGAATGTGAGCTCTGTGAGCCCAGGGATTTTATTTTCTTCCCTAACTGCTCTATTTCCTGCACCTAAAACAGAGCTTGGCACCTAGGAGTGCTCAATAAATACACACGGAATGAATAGTTCTCATATGTCATTGTCCAGGAGGTGGAAAAGAATGTTATTCTTCTAAACACCAACAAAATTGGTGTCAAAAACCTAAAATTCCTAGAACAAATATAATTCAGCTATCATCTTTATAATCTTTTTTTAAAATTTAATTTTAATTTTATTCTTCTAAACACCAACAAAATTGGTGTCAA